ATATATATATATATATATATATTAAAATTAAAAAAGAAAGGAAAAAACTTGAGCTTCACTAACTTGGGCCCTTTCAGGTCCTGAAAGATACCCTAGCAATTTTGTATTCGTAATTTTTTTTTCTTAAAGCTATTCCCCCAAATTGTAGTTTAGTTTCAACAAAACCCCTAAGAAGGGAATATAGTGGAAGAGTGGAATATAAGAAGGTGCTATAGTCTAGCATTCTCTAGAAATGCCTCAAAAGGGTCAGTAACCTGCTGTATTAGCTATTTCCAAGTCCAAATGACCACCAGTCTTTGGCCACCCTTTGTATTTATTAAATTATATCAATAAGACTAGTAGAAGTGGAAGAGATAATGTTGAAGTCTTTACAATCTAAGCAATTGACTTTCCTTTTATGCCAATATTTAGGAATTCTTTCCTCTTAGTTTGCTATTGAATTGAAAGTTTCTATTGAATTTATATTTCTGCATAACAATTATACCTTCAGAAGCAGTTATAAGTGAGATGTCAAATAGAACTATTTTGTATGTTTGTTGCATGTTCATGCTCTGGAAACATGCTTTAGAGGTCAAAACCATGAAAAACTAGATTTCTATTTAGATGGAGATTTATCATTATTTGTGAGCTATGTCCAGTATGATTTCACTTTAAAACCACAAATACAGTTTTAACAATCGGCATTTTTCTTGTTGAGAGGTCTGTGGTCAGACTAAATATCTCTCTGAACCTGATTAGGTCCTGAGGTTTTTAAATTCAATATTCAGCAAATATAGAGCATTTGTTAGGCCATAAGAAATAATTAAGAACTCCAGAGCTACTGTAGGTCTCCCTGAGTCTGCCCCTCTTTTCTGATGATAATCGGACATAACCTTGTCTGGTCCCAGGCCTCACCGTACATAAGACTGGGACAGAAGACTCACATACAATTAATCTTTTGAGGATTTAGGTGACATTGCTTTAGGTTTTTACATTAGCAAGCCCTTTGTTTGCTAGTACTCAAGTAATGGAATTTTAAGTATTATTAAATGCTTTATTTCTTCTTCCTCATTCCTAACTATCCTGAATCCAGAAAAACAGACAGACACATGGTCATTCTGTGAAGACAAAAGAACATTGAACAGTAAATTATACAACAGCCGGAACGGTCCACTGTGTATTCATTCTTGTAATGGAACACTGGTGGGTACATTAGCATATTTAGTTTGAATTTTTATAAAATAGAGATGGGATTGTTCTAGCAGTTTCACAGTGTGCATAGCTACCATCATACTCCATGGACGATCTGACTCAAAATAATGCAAGGCTCTGAATAATGGGAAGGGGACATGTTCTATAAACAATTCACAAGGGTTGGGTACCTCCACTGACAAGATATATTTAACAAACTCTAAAACCCACTTTTCCCAGGGACGTGTGGGGTGGCTCAGTTGGTTAAGCGTCTGACTTAGGCTCAGGTCATGATCTCACGGTTCGTGGATTCGAGCCCCACATGGGGCTCTGTGCTGACAGCTCAGAGCCTGGAGCCTACTTCCAGTTCTGTGTCTCCCTCTCTCTGCCCCTCCCCTGCTCTTGTGCTCTATTTCTCTCTCTCTCTCTCTCTCTCTCTCTCTCTCTCTCTCTCAAAAATAAACATTAAAAATTTTTTTTCAATCCGCTTTTCCTGTACAAACACAGTATCACTGTATTCCCATGGACTGCATTTACTTTCTTAGAGCTGAACTTTTTTCCAATGTTAGGCCTAAAATAAAATATGCAGAAATCTTTGAACTGTTTCTGTATCATTTTCATTGCTGGAGGGTACCTCCAGAGGTCACCTAGTTCACCCCGATCTCCAGCCAGGACTCTCCCTAATACTGAATATAGCTATATAGTGATCTGCATTAAGAAAGCTTTTAAAGATCCCTGGGGTTGGTCAAAAAATAGCTAATATTGGTCTGATTCATAGGACAACATTATACATACGTCAAAACAGCCACCTTTATCAAGGAAGACATCCATCAGGGTTAAGTGCTAGCTACAGCTTCAAAAGGAAAAGCTTTATTTTCTTGGAAAAAACGGTGGTAGATTAAGGAAATGACCAAGCGTGTTGGTATTTTACTGTTGTTGTTGTTGTCGTCGTTGTTTAGGTATACATTTAATGCTTATCAAAAAGGAAACATTGTCTTGTCAAAGACCGCTGCAGGGGAAGCCCTGAGGTGGCTGGAGCAAGGAGATCACAGCTCCTGTCACAAGTCCTTTCAAATAGCTACAAAGCTGGGAGTGGAATGGTGAGGTGGGGCTGTTTTTCAAACAAGATCTGATTAGCATCAAGTCAATGGAGGGCAGATGGTGAAACACAAGAATAATATCAACAATCTGAAACTACTCTCATACTGTATGTTAACGAGCAGAAATTTAAATAAAAACCTTTAAAAAAGAGGGTGAAACTGAAAAAAAAAAAAAAAAAGAATAATATTGACAGACCTGAGTTCTACGCGATCTCTTCAACTCCACTAAACCGTGGGTGCAAAAGACAAGAATTTAAGTGTAACTTCAATCTCCTAAGACAATCGCATCACAGTTTTACAGGGATAGTAATCACCCACAACTGTTAGACTTCTGAATTATTGGACTTAAAGCGTGACGCTAGGGGCGCCTGGGTGGCTCAGTCGGTTGAGCGTCCGACTTTGGCTCAGGTCATGATGTCGCAGTTCATGAGTTTGAGCCCTACATCCAGGCTTGCTGCTGTCAGCTCAGAGCCCTCTTCGGATCCTCTGGTCGCCTTCTCTCTCTGCCCCTCCCCCGCTTGTTCGCGCGCGCGCGCGCGCGCGCGCGCTCTCTCTCTCTCTCAAAAATAAATAAAACATTAAAAAAAAACAAAGCACTACATTAGAATTTAGAAATCTGGGTAAAAGGAGAGCTTAAAATTTCTTATCTGGATTATCTGGGCCTTTATGCTTTTTGGTTGAACTATAGAGAGATTTTAAAGATACAGCTATAACTATTCATAAAGTGAGGACCTGCCCTGACAATTGTCTCAAGTATCCACTTGGCTTTGTGTATGACTGTTGCATTTTTTTCACATAATATTTCTGTAAGGTTGCATAAAAGCCTAGTCAACCATGAGTGCTTTCAGGGAGTTTGGTGAAGCTAGGAGTTTGGGTGAAAACAAGTTTATCACATACCCACCCTCTTGCCAACTTTCAAATTTTGTGCTTCTTTCAAAGAATTCTTTGAAAATATTTCACCTTTAAAAACGGAGACACCTCTGTGCTGTCTTAGTAAGCCAGATGCTTAGTCTGGGTTACAGGAAGTGGAAAGTCTCTGCCAGCTTCCTTTGTAATTCCTGACTTTGGAAATGGGAATTCAGCCATTGAGAACTTTTTGATATGCAGCTGCCTTTCTCAGAGAATGCAAACCAACTAACAAAATCTTCAGGTTGCCTTTTCCTTGCCTGAGAGCAAGAGGTAAAAGAATAAGGAGGTCATTCTGCAGTGTCTTCTTGGCTTTACGACATTCCCACAGTGGACACCTTTGAGTTAATGTGCAGTCTCTGTATTCACCATAAAACTCAGGCACTTAAAGTATAGTACCTCCTTAGTTACTTGAATATTTGGCAGAGTAGGTTTTTTTCACCCTTAAACTGCTCAGATAATTGTCCGTTACTTGTTTGTGTAAACAACCTATAAAAAATGTGTTTGTTACTTTTTAAAGTTATTAGTCAAAAATTTCCCAGAGCAGAATCAAGAAATTCCAAATTGAAGAAACCCCATTAGCTTTTAAGAAAAATCATGGAAATGAAAGGAGCGTAAGGAAAGACAGAGAGTAGCAGATTCTGTAATTTTTATTACAAAAAAAAAGTTCGAACTCTTTACATGCTATGACATTCAATGCCATGGAGAAGTTCATTGCAAGCAAACATTTTAAAAAATATACATACTGTATATATTTACATTCAAGTCTGAGTAGTTGGTGTCAAGGTGTAGTTCAGGTTCGAATCTTCACCCACCCTGTGGATTTGTTCAGCTACTAACTAAACAGCGATTGTATCTTCACTCAGGCACATGAAGAGGTAGAAACTGCTTTTTAAAGAAAAAAACAACAAAACTGGAGTGCAAATGTGAAGATCATCTTTGAAGCAGCTTAGCTACATCAAGGAGGCCCTAACTAGCTTTGGTCATCTCAAGCTGAATACATGTAGCCCGTCCTTTAAATTAAAATCTGGAAAACTTTGGGTAGATGTTCTTCTGAGTACATCAGGGGTTGTCAGAGATCAGCAACTCTGCCACTCGGCACCCAAGAATTGCATATGACTAAGTTAGGCGACATAGCAGCAGGGCTGGGCTGGCAGCTGGGCACCTTTTCCCTGATAAGACACAAATAAAACACAAACGAGTGGCTTAAGAGACCTCAAATTGCTATCTGTACACCTACAGCCTAGAACTCAGAAGCCGACTAGGATACTTCGTTTCCCAAGTGAAACCTCTATCCCAAACTGAGCTAGTAAGTCTAGACAGGGGGGAGGTGACCTATGACCTCTGCAGGCCAAGGTTTCTCAGCCCCAAGACTAAACCTCATGACGGCTCTTGGGCCTGAGAAGGGCTCCCTGGGCTCTTGTCAGACTTGGTGGTGCTCGTTCCTGAGACGGGGAGTTGGAGGGAAGCCACAGGGGTGGCCGAGGGGAGAAGCCCTTCTCGTTCTCTTTTCTTCTGTTTCATCCTGCGGTTCTGGAACCAGATTTTGACTTGCGTATCATTCAGCTGCAAGGAGTTGGCTATCTCGATGCGTCGGGCTCGAGTTAAGTACTTATTGAAATGAAACTCCTTCTCCAGTTCTGTCAGTTGCTTGGTGCTGAAATTCGTGCGGATCGCGCTGGAGGGGCTAGCGGCTCCATACTCGGCGAGTTTGCCTACAACATAAAGACAGGGCATCGGTGGGGTGAGAGGACGCGGACGTAGAACGCGGGCGAGCAGCGGGGCCGGTGAGAATCAAAATCACAGCTCAGCTCTCCTGGGTCTCTGTAGACGCAAGTTGTGCCAGAAGAAACGCCCCACGGAGAGCGCCTTCCCGAAATTTCCTCAATGCCTGGCACATTTTCGGAGCGTGTACTTGGGGCACGCTCAATGGAATGCGCCTACTTTAACAGCGCTGCGGGACGCATTTCCTTCCTAAGTCCTAAATCGCCGTCCAGAGGGGCAGCTGCAACGCGCTCCCAGCACAATTCTGCGGAGGAGGCTCCGATCCCAACCCCAGTCGCGTCCGTCCAAGGCCCAGATACTTACTTTTCTTAGGGGCGTTCCTCTTCACTTTCATCCACTCGAAGGTGCTGAAGGCGGCGGGGAGGCCGGAGGCCGGCGACGCAGACTTGGGGTAGGCGCCAGGGGCCGGGGACGCGGTCTGGAAGGTCCCAGGGTGGCCGTCGGCTGGCTCTTTCAGACACTCCGGCAAGGGGCCGGGCTCGCCGAAAGCCGCGTAATCCACCTGGCCGCTGAGGAGAAAGGAGCCACTGCCCGAGAAGACGGCTGAGGTGGCGTAGTGGACGTGCGCCCCGCCGTCGTCGGCCGGCCGCCCGAGCGCGCACGGGAAGTCGTACGCCGGCCCCGGCCCCAGGAAGCCATAGTCCGCGCCCCCTGCCGCGGCAGGTGCGGCCCCCGGCTCGTAGGCGCCCTCCAGGGTGCACGGCGCGTAGGAGGGCGCGGCCGAGGGCGGCGCGGGGGGTGGCGCGGGGGTGGCCGGGGGCAAAGGCGCAGGTCGGGCGGCGGCCAGGGGCAGGCAGCTGACGAAGGCGCCGTCGCCGCTGCCCAAGGGGAAGGCGGGCTGCAGGGCCACGGGCCGGGCGTCGGCGCGGCAGAACTTGGGCGCGAAGCTGAGCGCCTCGCCGCCGCCCCCGCCGCTGCCGCACGACACGTACTCCAGGTAGGAGCTCATGGTTCCGGCCCACCCGCCTGAGCGGGGGCCCGAGCGCGGGGCCGGGCAGGACCGCCGCGGGCTGCGCCGTTCCGCCTTTCCTCTCTACCCGAACTGCCTTCGCCGAGCCATGGCGAGCGGGCCGGAGGTAAATAGTGGCCTAATATAGCAGCGGGGGTGGCCACGTGGCGCTGGCCGGCCAATGGGCGCCTGCCCCGCACGGCCGGGGTCCCGACTGGCGAGCTGCTCCACGCGCCTGCCCCGCCGCCAACTTTGCCAAACCTGCGGGTGGCCGCCGTCCAGCGCCCTCAGGCCGCGGGGAGAGCGGGCGCGGCCCCGGGGCGGCGTGGAGGAGGGCGGGGCGAGAGCGCCGGACGCCTGCCCCCCGGGACGGGCACTGGACGAAGCGGGAGGAGAAAGGCAAGACTAGCCGCTCGGGTGAGGACGAGAGGATAGAGGGCGAGACGCTTGTTCTTCTGGATCGGTGGGTGGCTGATCCCTCGGGTGCGGATAGTGGGCACTGAGGTGGGGAAGGGGTTAAAAGGGAGCGTGGAGTTCGACCCCTGGGCACTGTTCAGAGCCCTATGCGCTTTCGGTTTTCCTGGCACTGCTGTTACCCTTCCCCTAAACCTAAAGGACGTGTTTACTTTTCCCTCGCTTTCAGCCTGCCTCCGATTCACCGGACTGAATGTTGTGCCCTAGGCGCTGTGTACCTGGGGCGGCATCAGATCTTCACGTTTAGACTAGATTTTCACGTTACTTCGACAGAGTCCCTTCAGTTTCCGCTCTTACCGTTTGTGGAGTCAAGGTGGGGGCGAGTGTTGGAGCGCCAGGTTTTGATTGGGACAAAAGATAAGGTTTCTGCCTTGCGGAGAAGTTTACCAGGCTTCCCCCATAACTGGGTTATCCAAATACAGCAGCTGCGCTTGTGGTTGAACGCTCGTGCTCCTCTCCGGGAGGCTGGCTCCCGCACCCGGGCTGCGCACGCTCTGGCTGGGGCGCTTGGCTGGAGGGTGCAGAGGCTTCCCAGGGAGCCGTCAGATCTCAGAGGTTTGGACGGGCTCGTACCTTGAAGCAATTAAAGCTTCTGTTCCATCAGTTAAGTGCTGCGTCGTCTCTTGCGAGTGAAATCTGAGGGCTCACAATGTTAATGGGCTCACGTCTTTCCCTTGATAATACGGTTTTGTTTACTGAGCGTGGAGAGACGGGAAATAAAAGTGCAACTGGCACAGGAAATGAAGAGTAGAAAGGTTACAAAGACCGGCTTTACATGGACAAACTTTTCAACTTCCTTGAACATTTCTTTGGGGCTGCAGGAAAATAGCAAAACTATATAAATAAATGTTATTTACACACAGCAGTCATGAGAGAGGGTGGCTTCCTAAAACTGTGTGAATACGGTCTACTCTTGACTTATTCAAGTGCCCTTGAGAATTTGATCTATTATAGCCTCTTAGTTATGGTGACGGAGGTTTTATTATTGTTTCACTGATCCACTTGTCATGCAAGAGCGATTGAGCCCTTGCCTAAAATTCCACTCTGAGGAAGCGGGGAAAATAGGAGCCATCACAGTCCAGGGAGCCAGTTCCTTACAGGGATGTGAACCTGTGAATAAACAGAGCCACACCAGACGTGTTACCCTGGTGAGGCTGAAGTTGAGCCAAGGTGGGGAGGGGGGAGGTGGAGGGTACCCAGCTAGGAGTGAGCACAAAGCTAATAGTTCTGGTGTTGCGGCACCGCTGGAGTTCTGGGATTTGGTTGGGAAATGGAATCCTGTGCTGAAGATGGCCCTTCAGACTTGATGTTGCTACTTCAGTCTTTTCCTTTAGCCAATCAGATGACAAAGGTCCTAAATAGTTCTTTGAAAGAGAAAAATAGAGTCTCTTTTCTAGCTCTCTGGACAGGGAATGGTAGAGCTCTTCAGACCTAGCTGAGACTTCATATGTAGAAACATTTTTTTGCTGTCCCCAACTCTGATGGCCATACAAAAATATCAGCGACCCAGATGCTGCTGAGTTCACGTAACACCTCATGCACCCCTGGCTAGACTTTAAGAGCCAGTTTTTACCAGGATAGTGACCTAGCATGCACACCTCTGTCTAAATCAGTCTTTCTCTCGAAAGGTTTTCGGTTAATCACAACTCCTAGGCCCAGAAGCCCCAGCAGGTCAAGAAGGAAGATGGCCTTCTAAACCTCTCTGGAGAAGGCATCCTGCAGGCTGCAACTCAGGATGTAGGACAGAAAACTAAGCCTAATTGCCCGGCAGATCTGACCAAAACCTATCACACTAAGGGCCTTTGCTCTAAGGTTTCAGGGAAAACAGGCAGCCTAGGTGCCTTGGCAAACTTCATTGCAACAGAGACCAGGCTTCTGCTGCTAAGCACTTGGGGCAAAGGTTGGGTCCTTCCTGTCACAATTAAGCATTGACTTTGATCCACCCATGAGCTGTCTACACTGTTTCTCTGAAGCAAATTTTGGAGATTGAACTTTCGCTGGTGGAAGAAAATGTCCTAAAAGAGAATGAGATTTTTTTCTTAAAATTGTATTGTTTTGTTTTCAGAACTATGAGTGAGAGTTGCTGGGAGGAGGGTGTTCAATATTCATTCAGACCCAATTGCAGTTCAATGATCATTGCGTACAGAGAGCTACATTCTGTTTGTCCTTCTCTCTACTCCCTTTAACCTCTCAGGCTTTGGCATATCCTACACCTTGGGGCCAAGAGCTGCCATCTCAACTCCTGGACTGGTCCTTGACTTACTCATATTGGAGCCGAGACTCTGGTCATCTCAGACTCAGATTCATCATTTCCCAAGGACCTACTGTGTAAGAACATTTTGTTAGGGGAGGTCTAGGCTGCACACAAAAAGATACTCTCAAACCAAAGGAACAAGGGATTCATTTCTGGCACAGGTCTCAACTATGCTATAAATCTACTCCAGAAGAATGTGAATCTATAGTTCTCTAAGGAGAGATTGGAAGATATTATTGGAGGAGCTATATGCAGAAAGATATGAACGTAGGATATTTTGAGTAACTTTAAAGTTTGTCTCCTAGATGTTCACAGAGTATGGGAGAAATGTCTTACTAATTTTATTGCTTGTTCAAGTCATGAATTCCCAAGGGTCACTTGCCCTGCCAGGTCCGGGTGCTGTAAGTTCTCAGCAGGAGGTGACAGCAGAGGGGCCTGATTGCCAGGTTGTGTTTGATGTAGGAATGCTTTGAAATCTCTCCCATACTGCTAACCAGGGCAGCCACCCTGAAACCCCACCCCCCATGACAACCTTTGTCTCTCATTCAAACAACAAACTTTTTTTTTCTCCTGCAGACAGAAGACAGAAGTGAGGGAGGGTGACACTCTGGTCTTCTGTATGTTTACAGTTGTTCCTAAGAAGCGTCTTGCAACCCCTCTCCACCAGCCTCTTCATGTTACCCCTTGGAGACGCTTTGAGCACATGCAGACTTTTGGCTCCACAGCCCCAAGCGGTAGAAGGGCTCTTGCTTGTTGGGGTGAAAAGCAGGGGGGGGGGGGGGATGGGGGGGATTCTGGGCTTTTCTCTCAAGCAAGATTTGTAGTTCTCTGCAGAAGCCTTCAGTCATCCCATGATGGAAGTGGGGGTGAAGGACAGGAATTCTAAACCTATCAGAAGCCTGATAACAGGACCCTCCTTGAGGAAAACAGTTTGGAGTGCTGTGCCTTTCCCTGAGAGCTTTGTGAATGAAAGGCTCATGGGTCAAGCCCTTGCCTGGCACACAGTAAACATACAAGAAATGTTTGTTGGACAGAAATAAAAATGGACAGAATGGTGTGTTTTTACCATGACTAATATCGGATAAAAGATATCTTTAGATAACGGCTCCCAAAACCAACTCATGTGGGTGGAAATCAGCATAGAAGCTTCTTTAAAAGTGCAGGTTCCTGAGGCCACCCAAGAGATTTTTATCTAGTATGCCTGACTCCAGTAGGAGTTGTGATAAGCCTCTTGAGTGATTCTCAAGCAGGGTTCTTGGGAACCATATTTTGAGAATTTCTGCCTCTCAGAAATTGGGGTGGGCAATGTGGGAAGAGAGGGGTAATTCGGTGGGAGGGGCCCTTGGCTAGCATCATGAGAGCTCATGGCTAGTGGGAACATTATACCTGAACAGTGCCCAGAAGCCTCTTGGGTGGTAGGGGCAGAGAATGTGAAATGGCTCTCACATTTTGGTTTGGCAGCCTAAGTCTAGTTGGGGTGAAGTTTTATAAAATATCCTTAAGTAGTAGTCAGTAGAACTTTCCCAAGTTTTGCTGATAAAATAGTGCTTTGCAGAGACCTGGCTTCCGCTCCTTGTCACCTTCCTAACTTGGCTTTAGGGATGCCAGTAAGGTAGGAAGTGAAAGGCGTTTGTCTCTCCCAGTCTCTTTAGAGAAAATGTAGAATAGTTCTGAGGTAATGGAAAGAAGGAAGGAGGAGTGGGAATAGGAGTCTCAAGAGGGCGGAGCCAACTCTTCTTTCCTTCCACCTCTCCCAAATTGTCTGGAATGAACATCTGAGCTCCGGGGAGCCAGAGGGGATGAAATGTCCCTTGGCCTAAGCTGTAACTCTTCCTTTGATTAAAGATCAAGATGTCATAAAATGTCAGTGCAAGAAGGCCCCTTAGAGATGAGTGACATTGAACCCCTCATTTCAGAGAGGAAGTAACTTTACTCAGAGGTTAAAAGACAAAACTATCGGGGTGCCTGGGTGGCTCAGTCGGCTGGGCGTCCGACTTTGGCTCAGGACATGATCTTGCAGTCTGTGAGTTCAAGCCCCGCATTGGTCTCTGTGCTGACAGCTCAGAGCCTGAAGCCTGCTTTGGATTCTGTCTCCCTCGCTCTCTGCCCCTCCCCCACTCCTGCTCTGTCTCTCTCTCTCTCTCTCTCAAAAATAAATAAACATTAAAAAAAAAAAAGACAAAACTACCCTGCAAAAAATGAGGGAACTAACTTGGGTCTCCCGACTGTCTACAGTCTGCTGCCTGTCCACAGTGTACGAAGAGGAAAGAGT